TCTGGGGTCAGACTATTATTTTAATGTATTCTCACTGGAAATCAATTAACCAGGTGAACAATATAAGCACAATAAGATAAAGAAAAAGTACTTGTATTTTGTGCAACATAATGAGTTAGAATTTAGACTCAAATGAAGAAAAACAAAGTATTGGATAATATTTATCTTTTAAATGTCCTGCAGGGTTGGCTAACAGGAAGGGACCCTCTAAAGTCCAAGACAAAATGAAGGCTTAGGATACAAGGTAAGCAAAAGGTCACACATGCCCTCTTCCTAAAAGGTCCCCATCAGATCTAGGGGACCTTCATTTCTACTTTATGGCTCGGTGAAGCATGGGGCTTTGGAGTGGTCACAAGCTGAAAGCTGTAGTGAAGAATATTATTAAAGGCTCTAAACTAGAGCAAAGCCACAAAGGCTGGTCTTCAGTGGGAGTTTGAACTGGAAGTATACATGTCAAGAAAAAATACCTCGGAAGGTCATATGCACAGGGAAATGTAACACTGAATGGTACAGAAGAGAAATCTACTATGAGAATTTGGCACACCAAGCTGGCCTTTCACTAACTTTATGGTCTGAATTGATGTTCCCTCAGTGATTCAAAAATTCCTCAAAGAGAAATTTAAATTTAATGTAACTCCAGATTGATAAGGGTTCCTTGGTACTAAAAAGTATAAAACTGCCTGGGCAGCATGCTAAGCAGGTAGCAAAGGGAAGCGATCATAATTCCTGCTCAGACTTTCCTTTGATCCTCCTGATTTCAGAATAGACCTTCACACCACTCTCTCACATATAAATGCATGCACAACCAAGCACACTTTCTTCTGCAGATTTGGGTGCCTTTATGGAGTTGTCTAGAGATAGAAACTTATTTATCTTCATGCCTTGCACCTTCATCTTCCCATTTAGACATAATTCTGTTCTGCACAGTTCCTTACCACTTCTCCAGTCTCTTGCTATATCATACATGTTTTTGAGTTTGTAGGTGACCAATTAACTTGGATGTAAACTTATTGTTATTAGTTCTTTAAAGCAATTTTATAAAGAAGATATCACTGGAGTTAAATTTTGTGTTACTGGTTTTTTTTTTTTTACTTTCCTTGCTGGTTTTGAAGTAATTTGAGAAAAGATATGACTAAAAATAAATTTGTTCTACCTTAAAACTGGAGACTCATCCTGCTTTAAAATTTCAATCACAATCTTATTTCCAACAACTAAACACTAACATTTTGTGTAAATGTTTGAGATTAATTCAGGTAAAAATTGAGTAGGTCAATTGCCAAATGTAAGAGCTGATCAAACCCCAGCTAGAAATTATTTTAAGTTGAAGTTCAAAGTAGACTCATTTGTAGACAGAAGAAATAATTTGTCATTTATATTATAAAATACTATAAAAATTAGGAACAAAATCTCTATAAATTTACTAAATGGTTTTATAAAGAAAATCATTCATTATGACAACATCGACTCAGAGTACAGGCCACCTTCAAAATTAAATTATACATTGCATAGAGATTGCAATTAAAAAATAAAGAACTTAATCCATATAGATATTGATGATTCATCTATTTAATAACAAATTTACAGGACAAAATAGGCAAAGCGTACCAACAACAAGACCATGTTACAACAATTTTTTGAGATGGGGAAGTAAAAATTACAAGAAGTCTCTTGTAATTTCATAGCAATTGTGAATTAGACTACATTGCTAATTAAGTTCAATCTGTAAAATTGTTCTGACAGGGAAATCATTCCCAAAGCATAATTGTTATGGACTGAATTGTTTCGACCCAGAATTCTTATTGAAGTCCTAATTCCAACTGTTATTGTACTTGAAATAATAACCATCAGATGTGATCTGTTTCCATCTGGCAAGGACAGAAATATACATTCACTGTCCTGCTTCAGGGTATCAAATCTCCAACCTTATTTTATAATTTTGTTTCTATGGATCTTGATCTTTATTTCCTTCAACAAGATATCACAGCGGCCCATTACGTGGTGATATTACACAGATTGGACCTAGTGGGCATGAATTACTCTAGACATAGCAGTGTAATGTGTTCATGTGAGAGGGTGGAAATAAATCTGAAAATATTCAGGGACTATCTACCTGAATTAAATTTCTATAGGTCCAATGGTGTGGGGGGTTGTTCTGTTAGCTCATCAAAGGTGAGGCTATTGTTATATCTGACCTCTCCTGCAACTAAAATCCAGGCACAGCACCTACTAGGCCTTTTGGATTTTGGAGGCAATATATTCCACCTTTGGCTGTGTTAATCCAGCTCATTTATTGAATTACCTGAAAAGGTGCTAGTTTTGGTTCTACAATCAATCCAGGCTGCTGTGCCACCCGAGCCATCTGAACCAGTGGGTAGAGTGGCGTCAGTGTTACACAGAGAGGTTGTTGGTGGACGTTTATGGTTACTACTGGTGAAATATGGTGCAAGCACTTAGGGATTTGGAGCAAATCCTTGCCATTCTTCACAGATAACTGTTCTCTTTTCAGAAACAACTTCTGGTCTACTACTGGGTTGTGGTAGAAACTAAATGCTTAACCATGGGCCAACAAATCACCATGCAACCTAAACTGCCCATCATAAATGCATGTTATCTCACCCACCAAGTGCGCAGCCCCCAGCCCATCATCAAATGGAACTATATGAATGTGATATGATCCATGCAGTTCCTGAAGGTACAAGTAAATTACATGAAGAAGTGGCCCAAATGCTTTAAGTTCCTCACCCCTTCTCTACTTCCTTCTATTTCCCATCCTGGATTATAGCCTCATGTAGAGAAGACTAAGGCCTGGCTGATAGAAGGCTCTGAATAGTAGTTTAAGAGGTGGTACTATAGGTTATTTCAGGTTATTCCTGAAAAAAGAGGTAAAGAGAAATCTTCCCAGAGGATAGAACTGCAAGCATTAGACCTGGTTATTTATCTTGCTAGGAAGAAGTGGTCAGCGGTGAGATTACATAAACATTCATGGATCATTACCAGAAGTTGTGTAGGATGGACAGGGACAGGGAACATGATGGGGAAATTGATGACAAGCAAATTTAGGAACAAGGTATGTGATAGCCTCTCTGAGAGTAAAGTTATGAGCATATCTGTGTCTCAGGTGAATGTTGACTAAAGGGTGACTTCATCAGAGTATATCAATAATCAAATAGATAGTATGACCTATTTTGAAGATAACAGCCAGCCTCTTTCCTCAGTCATCCCTGCCACCACCAATCGGTTTTAATAAAGTAGCCATGGAGGCTGAAGTGGAGGTTGTGCATGGATTCAGCAAAATGAAAATCTAGTCAACAAGACTGACCTGGCTGCACTTAACACCGAACACACAACTTGTCAGTATTAACAGAGTCCTAACTATGGCATCAATTCCCAGTGATCAGCCAGCTACCTAGTGGCAGGTCGATTGTACTGGAATACTTCAATGATAGATGTGGCCATGTTTTAATTACTAAATAAACACTCCAGATATGGATTTGCATTCCTTACACGCAACACTTTTGCTAAAATTACCATAATAGACTTTCTTCTGATCAAGGATCTCATTTCATAACAAATGGAGGACTACCATGGGTCCATTCTCCTCACCATCCTGAAGCAACTGACTTGACAGAATGGTGAAAAGTCCTTGAAGGCTCAGGTACAACACCTGCTAAGTTACAATACTTTGCCCAGCCAGAACTAGTTTATTCAGAGTCAGTATATATGCCAAATTTGCATAAATATATGTTTTACATACTATATTAACAAGACATATATCAGTATTGTTTCCCTTAAACCCAGGATTCACAGCTCCCTGAATCAAAGGGTGAAAATGTGAATGGCACAACTATTACCCTTAATAACCCACTAATGAAATTTTTGTTTCCTGTTGCCCAAATCTTAGTTTTTGTTGTTCTCGAGGGTTCAGTTTCAAAGAGAAGAACATTTCCATTTGTAGACACAATAATTTGAGAGAAGGTGAAATGAAAACCACCTCCCTGAAGTGTTGGGGTCCCTTGCCTTTGAATCAACTGGTAAAGAACTCAGTTACTGTGCTTGCTGGGATAAATGATCCTGACTAAGACAATCACCTAAGTGGAAAGAGCAAATTAATTCTAAATATGCTTTTTAGAAGAATTATGAACCACTAAAATTCAATTGGTCCCACAAGGTTTAATTTTGCTACATATAATCCCTTTAGCCACAGTAGTCAGATTTTAACATAAAGTACTTCTTATCAAGCCTCATACCATTTACACCTGGAGTATGAATGAAACAGGAAGGTCAGCAGTCTAATAAGTCTCTGAGTATTTGTCAGAGATTTCATATGCCACACTTAAAACACTGATGATAAAAGCACTTCTCAGGAGGAGAAACTCATTTCCCCAAAATTTTAATAGTTACTTTCTCTGTATATCGTCCATCCATCCATCCATCCATCCATCCATCCATCCATCCATCCATCCATCCATCCATCCATCCAGACAGCAGTAAACCCATTTACCTGCTTACCTACCTACCTATCCGTGACCTAGCAAGTATGTATGTATGCATGTATGTATGTGTTTGTATATATAAAACAATTACATTTAAGGCATGATTATTAAGAACAGTCAAATCATCCAGTTATTCTTAATTCATTCAACAACTATTTAATTAGCACATGAAAAGTAAATTGTATACTTTTGAGTCTGATCTTGAAATAGCCTTCATCTCTTAGCTCACATCCATCATGCATTTGAGATATCAACACTGGTGTGTGCTGATGACTGAGAACTGATATTTGCTTACATTGTGTCTGTGCTTAGGTCCAGTAGCTGGCTATGTTCAAAAGATAATCCAATATCAATAATAGCTAATACTAAGTTTAGACTCAAATTTAGATAAGTGTAAATATTTCAATTTAATAATATCACAAATAGTCAAATGTAAAAATAAGGATTGCCCATTTAGTTTCCTAATTTTAAATTTCATTTAAAATGTTTTTTTTTAAATTTTCTTACCTCTTATTTGTACCCCCTTTCCACAGGCTTCGCTGGTGCCCATTATTCCCTGTCTGACAGACTCTGGTACCAAGATACAAGGGCTCCATTTCTGTGGCTTCCACCTGTAATTATGAAGAAGGGAGAACTAGAAATTTCACCATGGCAAACATACAAAAGACATATTAGAAACAGTTGAGTTTGAAAACCAAAAGTATAGATCCATTAATCAAAGAAGAATGAGTTTGAAAGTATCATAAAATAGAGCCTGCAAATAGTGGGGATAACTACAGCTCACTCTTTCTAGATTCATGATTAATGCAGTGACTCATATTTTACAAAGCTGTGGCTACCTAGGAACATAAAGCTTAGTTCATATAGCAAAGTGGGAATGAAAAGCACTAGAAGCAGTCAAATATAGGAAATTTGGCTTTTTATGAATTAAAATTGTTGAATAAAAGAAAAAAGAGAGAGAAAAGCTCTATGTCCTACTGGAGCTTTAGAGAATCAAGGTTTAAACATCTGATACTTTTGGTGCAAACTTTCACACATGATTCCTTGCTTCAAATGCTTTATAAGGTATTTCCCAGGACTTTGGAATAACTCAGATAGCTCATAATTTTGTAAAAAGCAAAAAAATATAATATCACATAGTGTAAAAGGGAGATGAGGGACCTCTTTTTTCATCTCATAAAAGAGGAATGTATCAGCCTTTGATGAATTTTCATTCAATATTTCTATTTCTGAAAGGAAATTGTCCCTAAGGAAGCTTCTGACTTTTACCACTTTTCTTTCTTCAGGTCAACAAAACACTTTATTTTTATTGCTCACAAGACAGACTGTGTATTGTGTCTTTAAACCCATCTCTTCCAGAAAACTGAAACTCTAAGATTTATATGAGCCCATGCCTCTGATAAGAGATGCTAATTGGAAAAAATAAATAAATAAAAGGAAAGAAAAGAAACAGGGTTTCTTTGAGTTACAGATGGAAGTAAAAATCTTATTGACCAGTTTCACAGATGGGATTTTTCAGAGATGAAAAATTTTAAGTCTCTACTGCATAATTCTCGGCCATAATAATATGACTACACTAGATACTCAGCGAATGGTTAAGATAGTAAATTTTGTTATGTATTTTTTATCACAATAAAAGGAAGTCTCCCCAAATTAAAAAAAAAAAGTATATATCAGAATACGAATCAGACTTTTTTTGCTCAGGAAAAGTCACTTTAAAGCATCTTCTTAATTGTGTAAATGTAGCTTAAGATACTGTATGGAGATCACTTAACAGAGCTAAGCATTAATATCAGCACACCCATCACTTCTCCCTATTTGAGGCTATGTGAGTGTCAGGCTTCTTTGATAATTGAAGATAAGTAAAGCAGAGGTGGCCTTACAGGAAAGATGCAGACCGCCTTAAGTACACCTTAAGAGAAAGACAAAATCAAGCAAAGTACATTAAAATGTAAAAGTGAAAATAGTACATCAATGACCTCTAGTTTGGGAATAACTGAAGATTTGGGAAGAAATCAGAAAACAACAAAATGGAAAAAGCTGTCACGCTTGCAGGTGTTGCCTATATTTTCAAATAGTTTTACATTTATTTTGTATTTTCATAGATTTTGTCAGTGTAACTTCCAAATTAAATGAAATGACAAGATCTCTAGCCAACTTTTCTATTCAATTCATTCCAAGATATCATTCACAAGAATTCTTAAGTTTATATACACTTTCTAGACTAATGATTGAGGAATTCGATGTATTTTGCTTGCTGAAAGAGACTGCAATGGAAGGGAGGAATTATCAGGACTTTATAGATCACTCAGACGAACTTGGTACAGATAGGTAAAGTGACATAACAGGGACTGCACCAATGAAGGTAGGCCCATGCGGGTCCTACATCTCTGGAAGCTCAGCCCCAGATTCCTGACTACATTTAATAGCCAATTTATGTAAAGAATAAAGGGCACCTCCACCATTCAAAAGAAAGTGATTTCATGAAAACCGTTGCAAGTCAAAATAGTATAAAGCACAGAAGCCATACCATTCATTCATACGTGAAAATTCTTGAGTGTTCCCAGATGCCTCAGAAACCCATCAACTCATACCAAATGATTCATAAAATCACACTAACATATAGTAAAAGCAGAAATACTATTAGTACAGTATGTATAATGTAGTACCTAGGAAAGGAGATGGGGTACCAGCCCTGGGATACATGCTACGTCTAGAGCAGCTCACGGAAAAACAAATGCTGACCATTAGTTTTGCTTTTTCCCATCCTTGTATTACTTGCTTATCAAAAACAAGTACTAATGTGGGTCTTTGTTAAAAGTAAGTAGTCTATTGTAAAATTTTAAAAAGCTGGGATTTCCCTTTTACCACCCATTCTGTCTTCCCTTTTGGTTACTAACTTAAGATGTTGGGACATGCTCAAATTCACAGAAAAACTTGTATAAACATTTTGATTTTGTTTTAATTTGTTAAATGTGTGAATATGTTACCTTAATGGAGCCAAAATGAAGGATCAGGAAAAAATAAGGAATATATTATCATGGCTCCCTAGCAGTCTAATGCTGGTTGAGGGGCTGTTGTGTGGGGAGGTGGATAAAAAGGGCATGAAGCAAAATCTAAATCAGAATCATAGTGCTCAGAATTCAAGGGTGTTTTGCTAAGAGAATAATGTGGATAACTTGGACACATAATAAACTACACATCAGGAAAAATGAACCAACGTTCCAATCCATGCACAGAAGAACTGCTGTCTGGGGAAAATGGCAGGAGGTACATGATAGAAACTAGTTCAAACATGAATGCCTACATTTAAGTGCTTCAAGTTGACTAGAGAGAGGGCAGTAGAAAAGCAAGAGCCCACTAACCGCCTCTAGCATTTTCTCTGATTATAATAGCCCTGGGTTCATAAATACGTCTAAAAATATTTGATTTGGCTAATTTTTTTCAATTGGTTACTCTTTCTGAGAGCTATTTTGCTGGATTTAGACATTTCAATATTTATACATGGGACAAAGGAAGAATATTGACAGTGATTCCACAATGACCCTGTGGTTAATGAGGAAGCTCTGGTAGTCTGGGCATGTTCCCAGAGTTTATTTACATCCTCCCCAAGCTGGTTATCAGATAGAAACAGTGGGAGAAGAGAAGATAAAATCGATAGCAAATCAGACTACTTCAATAACACTCTAAACTTTGTCTAATGTGGAATCTCTAAAAAAAAAAAGAACTTGAAAAATTAGGCCTTGAATTTCAGTTTTAAGATACAGTTTCTCAAGTAATAAGAAGCAACCCTAGGTATTATGGCTAGAGGCATTTTTAAGTTGTGCTGGCAGTTATTTGATTTTTAAGACCACGGGGAATTTTTCACAAATCTGAAAAACGAACAGTGAATTTAATCCTTATGTACTAAAAGCAATGGCTTGATCCAATCTTAGCAGAGTGGAAGTTTATGACTAGACACACAAATCTCAGGTGTTTTGCAAATATTAGTCACCAACGTGTTCAGAAGAACACACAGGGACAATAATAAAACTATGTATTAAAAAATTGCCTATAACTTAAGTATTTTTTATAACAAGATAGTTTCTTCAAATGTGCACATGTTAACAAAACTGAAAACCAAAAATATATTTTAATTAAAATAATTACTGAAGATCACTTGTAATAAGGGAGATGCAAATAAAAACCACAATGAGATACCACCTCACCCCAGTGAGAATGGCATATCTTCCACAACTAGCAACAACAAATGTTGGCGAGGATGTGGAGAAAAAGGAAGTCTTCCTGTACTGCTGGTGGGAATGCAAACTAGTACAACCACAATGGAAAACTGTTTGGAGGTTCCTTAAACTGCTAACCATGGAGCTTCCATATGACCAAGCAATCCCACTCCTAGGTATCTACCCAAAGGACACAAAAACACTGATTCAAAAAGATACCTGCACCCTCATGTTTATTTACATTATTTACAAGTGGAAAGACATGGAAGCAGCCCAAGTGCCCAAAAGCGGATGACTGGATTAAAAAGATGTGGTACATATACACAATGGAATATTATGCAGTAGCAGAAAAAAAAGAAAAAAAAGAAAGACATGTCTATTTCAGCAACATGGATGGAGCTGGAAAAGATCATGCTTAGTGAAATAAGCCAGAAAGAAAAGGAAAAATATCGATTGGTTTCACTTATAGCAGTATAATGGACCAGGCGAGAAAATAATAATGAAGAGTTATATACCAGCGACAATTTATGGGGGTGAGGTGGAGAATGGGATCAAAAACAGTGGGGGGGAGGGAAAAGCACTGGACTTTGGTGATGGCACATGGGTGATATGGTGATGGGAAGCCCAAGGAGATTACAACTAAGATGGAAAAATGAACAAAATGATGTAAAAATAAACATATTATTTAAAAATATATAATTACTGAAGAAGTACACAAATTTGTATGTTAGTTTTTGATTAAAGTAAAATAAATGTGGGGTGTGTGTGTGTGCATGCATGTTTTCCAGGTAAAAATGTCATTTTGAATCTTTGGGATCCTAATTCTGAAACCTGATTGCTGTATGGCAAGACTCCAGTTGCCTACTTAGAATCAAAACAGGTTTGTTTCATTTCCAGTTAAACTTTCATAACCTTTACTCTATGAAAATATATTCCAGAGAAGCAGGGGGAAATCTAAGTAGTTAAATGTAAATATTATCTCTTGTTATTTCTTTATACAATCACATATTATTCAAAAGAAAATGGGTCATGATGTATTCTGAAGTCTAATGATTATTTTAAAAAGGTAACTAATTACCGATGCATGGGACACAATGACACATCTTCACACTCTCGCTCTTCAAATAAGGTATCTGGGCATTCTTGGCCTCCATTGGCTGCTTCTTGGATGATAATCCTGTGTCGAGACTGTTTTATTGTTGCATTTCCTGAAGTAAAGGAAAAATAAAAATTATAGTGCCCTTTTATGTGAATGCCAAGAAAAATTCAGGGTTAGAAAACAAATTGTGGGGGGAGGGGAGAAAAGGTGAAGTTGCAACATGAGGAATGAATGAATGCCTGAGTAAAGAGAAAAACAAGTCAAATCAGGGCTTATTAATCAAATTTCTGAGATAGACATTTCATACATAACAACTATTTCAATCTGTGTTCTGGTATGCAAAGATGATCTCTCATTGACTTAATGTGCCTTCAATTTATTATATGAATATAATGTAGAAATATATGTATTTCCTTATCATGAGAGTTACATGGACTAATTTGTGAGATCTCTAATCATTAAGGGACCTACAGTTTTACCTTTCAAATTACTCCCTCCACTAGTCAAAGACAAACGAAAACCGACCCTTGAAAACTGATCATAGATTTGAGGCATCCAAGAAGGGGGATGGTGTTGGAAGGAGAAAGGAAAAGATAAGGAAGGGGGAGGGTGGGGGAGCTTAATGGAATATGGTGGAGGACTAAGGATGCTCTGGTGTTAGGAGCACTATGATGATCACCACTGAGGGGAGAAATGTTCTATAGCCAAAATATTAACAATGATGTAAAACAAGTGTATTTCATTGATAATATTCATAATAAAAGAAAAAAAAAACCTCCCTCCAGTGAGGCATTTCTTTTAGGTAAGACTTTTTTACAGTGCAAAACTCATAAACATCAACACATTGGAAATACATTTTTTATGGTTATCCACTTATTAGATTTCTTTTTCTTCATAATTTGAAATGGTAGTAATAGAAATTCAGGGCAGAGGCACTAAAATAGTGACAGAACAAAATATTGCCTACTTCATGGTTTTGCTGAGAAAGAAATAATAATAGGCACTTCAATTAAAAAAGAAAAAGCTGGTATTCACTTTAATGTGTTGGGGCATTCATTTCATCATCTTTAGATGTCTTCTGAATTAACAGCAATAACAAAGATCAATTATAACTACTATGGTTAGCAGCTGTTTCAATTACTATGTGCAACTTATTGCACTGGATATGAAGATTTTTTTGCACTTACAATTTAACAAAATGGGAAAGGAGGCAGAGACAAGCCTTATGGGACATTGGATGGAGAGAAGCATGAGATAGTATTAGGAGAGAAAAAAGAAGAGTTGCCTCCAGAAACCAAAGAGAGCTCTGGAGAAGAAGGAGTGCATTCTTGAACTTGAATGTTAAGCCATCGTAGACCAAGAAAACAGTTCTAGAAAAGGTTTTGAACTTATAGAGAAAGACAAGTAACTTCATTGAGAGGGAAGATATATATGTATAGTTTGCTTGTGCATATGTGTGGGGCTATGAAGAATGGATAGGAAAGGCTGTATGGGAGAAAATTGAATTAATTTATAAACTTGGAACAAATAACAAACCTAAGGATGTTAGGAAGAAAATTTCTAAAGAGCCAGTACACTAAGTCGAGCAAAAGAAAAGGAAAAAATAGGGCCTTTTATTAATATTGTATGTTCACATCTTTATACAGATTATTAACAAAAAAAAAAAAAAAAAGAAAAGAAAAAAGACAACCGACACACAACTCACCTTCTCCCAGAACTTTTTTTTTTTTAATATTTATTGGGCCCTCCCTGGTGGCACAGCAGGTTAAAGCACAACTCTAAGATGCTAAAGCCACTTCAGCAGAGTTTGATCCCTGCCTGCCCCAGAGGTGATCCACATGTTGAGGCAGACCTCTCCTGACCGTGCGCCCACTGTTCCCCTCAGCAGTGTACTTTGTCAATCAGCCTGTTCTGCTCCCCTGTACCTCTGGCCTGTACCCCGGTTCTGTATGCATAAATAAATAAATCTTTTAAAAATGTTTATTAATGCATACAAGAACTGAGGTACAAGCCAGAGGTGCAGGGCGGTGAGAGGAGTCACCAGAGACAGCATGGGAAGCAGAACAGGCAGATGTACTGAAATGCACTGCTAAAGGGAGCAGTGGGTAGAACAGGAGAGGTCTGATGAGCCATGTTGAATGACCCCTGGCCGGGGTACAATTCCTGTTACAGTGGCTCCATAGCTATATAGTACTATACTTTAACCTGTTGCGCTACCAGGGAGAGCCCCATTTTGGGTTGTTTACAAATTTAGTTTTTCTGTGGTTACATTTAAATCTATAAATATGTTTATGTAATTACTTATTGATGTATTAACTTCAAACATTATTTATTGACTTTCTGCTATAATTGATGAGAATTTGCATTGTAATGCCTTTCAAATTTTTACAATTTTTTTTTTTTTTAAGCTCCATTCCTGACCTCCAACAGACCCACGAAGGTTCTGAAGAGTCTTCATAGGTAGCTGAACTTCCTTTTCTGCTGCCACCACATTCCTGCTAATTAGGTCATGGCTGTACTGTGTCATCATCAGTTTTTCTGCTCCACAATCTGTTAAATCTACCTTAGTTTAACTATCCTTTGACAAAGAATCAGCATTTAAAAATTTCATTTCCATCAGCCCTCTCTGATGGTGCAGTGGGTTAGAGCATAGCACTGCAAGCTGGCTGCAGCTGCCTCAGTGTGAGTTCAATCCCCGGGCTCAGAGGTGACTCACATGGCGTGGCAGACCTGTCCTGTCTCACCTGTCTAACTGCTGCTCCCCTCAGCAGTGTACTTTGACAGTCTGCCTGTTCTGTTCCCCACTCTGTCTCTGATGAATCCTCTCACCGCCCCTGTACCTCTGGCCAGTACCCCAGTTCTGCATGCATAAATAAATAAACCTTTAAAAAATTCATTTATATTATGTAAATGAGACCATGAGAAGGGGAAACCTAACATTTGTACATTTCATTATCTTGAACCACACATTAAGGAGATACTGGGATCTTTTACTCCATCTACTTAACAGAACCCTTTTTAATTACTATGTACCCCAGAACTGACCATGAAAGAGGTGCATCAGTGGCTCTTTTGTCCACTGGATTCTGGTTCAATTTCAGCAGCAAGGGAATGGAGCACACAATAGAAGGGAAAAAAGAAGACAAGAAGAGGGGGAGAGTGTTTCAGAGTGTTTCAACTACTCAGACTGTCCATTCTCCCATTTCTCTCATTTTCTTTAGGCCATGCTATTCCTGGAAACAGGAGATGAGTCCATTTAGTGACCCTTTAATGTCCTCTAGCTGTTCAAGTGGAAGGAAGAAGCATACATATGTCCCTTTTATAACAAAACAGAAATAACTAAGCGTAGTGATGAATGATTGCTGAAAATGCAGATAGGTTGATGATAGGTAGGTCTCTAGCACATATAGCCAAGTTGTGAATCAAAAGTAATGTTTTTGATGGAATGAAAGTGTTACTTCAGTGAATGCATGAATGATAAAAAAAAAAAGAAAACTTTGTAGTTGACCCAGAGAAAGTTTAAGTTACCTAGATTAGACATTTAAACCTGTCACAGTATTCCTTTAAGCCAAGACCTAATTAAAAATAAAGCCATAACTCTCTTCAATTCTATGAAGGTTGAGAGAGATGAAGAAGCAGAAATAGAAAAACCTAGGTTATGAAGCATAGGTTAGTTGATGAAGTTTAGCAAAGCAGTTTCTATAACATCACAGTCATGGAAGGTGCCATAGTAAGTGCTGGTATCAAATCTGCAACAAGTTAAGCAGAGGAGTTGGCTAAGATCATTCATGAAGTTGGCTATACTAAACAGAAGATTTTCTATGCACATTAAGTAGCTCTATGTTGGAAAGAGATACCATCTAGGTATTTCTTAGCTAGGGAGAAATCAATTCCTGGTTTCACAGCCTCAAAGGACAGGCCTAGCCCTTTGTTAGGAGTTAATGCAACTGATGACGTTAAGTTGAAGCCAGCGATCACTTCCCATTCTAAAATCCTACAGCTCTTAAGAATTAAGCTAAAGCTACTCTGCTATTCCTTATAAATGGAACAGCAAAACCTGGATGGTAGCACATCTCTTCACAGCATAATTTAGTGAATATTTTAAGGCCACTGTTGAGATCTACCACTCAGAAAAGACTTCTTTCAAAATATTACTCCTCTTTGGCAATGTACTCTGGTCAACAGAGCTCTGCTGCATATTTACAAGAAAATTAATATAATTTTCACAATATCACTTGTGTATTCCATGTATCAAACAGTCATTTAGACTTTTAAATCTCATTTTTTAAGAAATAGATTTTTTTAAGACTAAGCTGTCATCATTTACTCTGATGGAACTGAGCTGTGTCTATTGGAGACATTTTGGAAGGAGTCACCATTCTACGGGTCATTAGAACAATCATGATTCATGGGAGGAGGTGAAAATAATACTACTTGAAAAGGAATATGGAATAAGATGATTTTAATCTGGGCTCTCCCTGGTGGGGCAACTGGTTAAAGTGTAGCATTATGAAGTTACCCACAGCCACTGCAGCCTGAATCTGATACCTGGCCAGGGAGGTGACCCACATGGCATAGAGACCTCTCCTGACCCGCCCACTGTTCCCCTTAGCAGTGTATTTCAGTACATCTGCCTGTTCTGCTCCTCCACTCTGTCTCTGATGAATTCTCTCATCGCCCCACTCTCCGCCCACCCCCACCCCCCCAATATCAGGCCTGAACCACAGTTCTTGTACACACAAATAATCTTTTTAAAAATGATTTCAATCTTCCTGGATGATTTTGAGGGGTGTAAGACTTCAATGAAGGGAACAGTTGCTTGCAGATGTGGTGGAATGAACAGGATAATTAGAGGAGGGACCTTATAATATGACTTGATTACTGCAATCTCATGATGAAACTTTAACAGATTAAGAGTTGCTTGTGGCCCTCCCTAGTGGTGCAGCGGGTTAAAGCACAGCACTGAGAATCTAAAGCCACTTCTGCATGAGTTCGATCCCTGCCTGCCCCGGAGGTGATTCACATGGTGAGGCAGACCTCTCCTGACCCACCCGCTGCTCCCCTCAAAGAAACTTACTTGTTTAGAATATATTGATGAAAGTATTTAAA